TAATGAAATCAGTAATATGTTAAGCATTGACAAACTAGATTCATTTTTAATTAAATTTAGAACAATTATTCGTTTTAGATATAAATGGTTGATTCAAATAAATTATGATCGATTACACTCATATACATTCTTTCAAATATTAACCTTGAAATATATTCTAATTTTATACTATATACGCTATTCATGTTTACAATAGAAACAGTATGAAAATATGATTACACGTAATTCATGATTACATCAAACGACAAGATAAAATTAGAAATGACTCTTTATTGACGTCAGATATTTATACTCTGTCGTACTTATTATGAGAAAAAGAAACAATATAAATACGGCATACATATTACATTATCTACTTATATTCATAAATACATACGTTTACTTCAATTATTTTATTCAGTATTTAAAAAACTAAATTATGTGGGGAGGACAACAATATGGTGGTAAGTTAAGAAAAAAATAGTTATTTAGTAATCATCTTATTATTATTTCATAGGAGGATTTGATGGTGATTTAGGACGTAAGAAAAACTAATTTTTTATTTTTTTTTATTGATTATATTTATTTTAATAGTTAATGCAAATGCAAATATAAATGGGTATGGAGTTGGAGTTGGTATGAATACAAATCTTGGTTTAGGTGGTGGTGGTGGTTATCCAGGAATTGGATATGGTGGAGATTCTTATAATAATTTCAATGGTAATATGTATGGACCAGGTGGATTCGGTGGTAATATGTACGGTCAAGGTGGATTGGGTGGTGGTTTTTATTAAATTCAATATAATCATGGTTGATTATTAATAAAATGTATAATTTGTATTTTTATGTTTTATTTTAATAAATTATATAACATACACAATGAAAGATTCTTATGTATTCGTGATAATTAATCTCTTTGAGTAAATGGAAAAAAAAAGTTTTATACTGATCATTCACGAGAAATATATTAATTTACATAATTTAAAATCAAAAGAATTTTATATTAAACGAAATGATCTATAAATATATTCATATATACCTAAAATTATGTATGTTAGTTCTTGTGACTGCAACAGTTATATAAATCTCTCTTTGTCTAAATACTCGATTCAAAATTAGTAATAAAATAATTCTTTTAAATTGCTCGAAAGAAAAACCATGATAAAATTTCTTTTCATTTAAATCTCATTGTTTTATTTATTTAACAATATACACTAAGAAACGACAGTATAAAACAAACATATGATGGAATTATTTCTTTCTTATTTTAGTTGAAAAAAACATTTATCGTTCTATTAATCATGAAATTAAAATAAATTAATAATTGTATAAGATTGAGCTTGGTATCCTTAGTTACAAAAAAGTTTTTAATAAAGAATGTATCTGTCTTAGTTACGAATACAAAAACATTATTAAAATATGAAATAAAAAGCACCCTCAAGATATAACAGAATATAAAATGTATTACAAAAAATATATTATTATTCATTATTCTATTTTAATGGAAGATATATTAGTTAATTCTTCATCGTTAATGTCTACTTCTTTTTTTGACTGTTGTTCTTCTTCGGATTTTTCTTCAGTCGATTGTTCTTCATGAGATTTTAATTCTTCTGAAGGTTGTTTATTATCAGTTAAGGTATTTATCGGTTCTTGTTCAGTTGATACATCTTGTTTTTCATCATTTGTTTTCGTTGTTGTTTCTGATGGTAAATCGAAAAGAAATAAAAATTGAAAAAGTCTTGTTGATCGTCCTTGTGAACAACTTCCACCAGTAATATCACATAATTGTTCATAAAAAGTATCATGTATATCTTCTTGATTTTTAACTTTATTCCATAGAATAGGTAAAAGTTCTTCAACATCAATATCATTTTTTGAATCAAAATTACTTTGTCGTTGTGTTGTTAAAATTTTTATTGAACGACGTGCACGACCAATTCGTTTAACATTAAAATATTTTTTATCAAGCCATTGTTCCATTTCTTTTATTGTATCATCAAATGAAAGACAATTTGGAAGATATTCTTTAATTAATATTGAACGTATTTCAAACCATTTTTCACGTAATTTACCATCATAATCATGTGTATTACATGAAGTTGTCATTAATCTTAAGTTAGAAAACAAATGAAATCAATTGTGAATATTTTATTTTATTTCATTTACACATTACTATGATAGTAATGTCAATGAGTTAAGATATATTTTCAAAAAGAATATTTTCCCATGTGAACATATGAAATTTTGTTTCTCAATACGATGACTCATCGCATCATTCATGTTTCTCTTATAGAACAATTATTATTATTTTTTCATTTCAGTGAAATATTAAATCAAAAAAAATATTTATATTCAATACAATCAATGTATGAAGTGTAATAAACCTAAAATAAATCTATATGAAATTTAATAAAAATATCGGCTGGCGTCATCTATTCTTAAAGATTTCATTTTGTTTATATTCGACAAATTCACTTTCACATCAGTTAGATGGTTTTCTTACTCAAATAATTATTTGATTTAAGTTAAATTAATAAGAGAGGAGAATGGACACTATCTCATTCCTAATTGGTTTAAATATTAGAATTCCTCTTTGTTGTCTTTTTTTTGTTAAATAATATTCGTTTTGATTGAAGATATTTCTTTGGATTTTCAAATCAAACAAAAGCATTTGTTAAATTCACACGTCAAATGGCTGGAATTTCAGCTGCACGTCTTACCGAAGAACGAAAAGCCTGGAGACGAGATCATCCATTTGGATTTATTGCTGTAAGTTAAATTTTTTCTTCTTTTTTTGTCACATTTTAAATCTTATTTTTCTTTCTTTTAAAGAGACCAGCTAAAAATACAGATGGAACACTAAATCTTCTTAATTGGGAATGTGGTATTCCAGGTAAGGACAAAACAAATCTTTTTGTTAATAATAAAAGAAACTATATAATCTTTTCTTCTTAGGCAAAACAGGTACACCATGGGAAGGTGGCTTATTTAAATTACGTACGTTTAATTCTATTTGTATAAAAACCATGTTGAAATATAAAATTTGATTTTTAGGTATGGTATTCAAAGATGATTATCCATCCACTCCACCTAAATGTAAATTCGAACCACCACTATTTCATCCAAATATTTATCCAGTATGTAAATTTGAAAATAAAAACAAAAGATGAAGATTTCGAATATATATATATTTTTTATAAATAGAGTGGAACAGTATGTTTATCATTACTCGATGA